GCCTAACAGTAACCAGGACTAGCAGTCCAATAAGCCAGGTTAGCCAAGCTAATCAGGACCAGCAGTCCAATAAGCCAGTTTAGCCTAACAATAACAAGGACTAGCAGTCCAATAAGCCAGGTTCAGCCAAACAGGAACCAGAGACAGCAGTCCAGTAAGCCAGGTTCAGTCAAACCGTAATCAGGAGGAAGAAGTTCAGCAAAGCAGGCAAACCGAGCAAGCCCCACAAGGCAGCACCGTAATCTCCGGGTGTCGGCAAGTGCTGCACACGATTCAACGCTTGTTCCCGACCGATGCCCCTCCCACCAGCACCTCCTTACATCTCCGTCCCCAGGTGTGCCTTGGGAAGAGGGGCGGGGCGCTCTCCTCCCGAGTAGCCGGCTCAGTCTCCATTGTTCTCGCCTTATCTCTGCTCTCCGTGCTCTTGGATCGGGAGGGGGTGGTCCTTGCTCTCTTTGCCTGGAGCTCTGTCTCTCCTGCTCTCCTCCCTGTCTCTAATCCTGAAAAGCCCAGCCCGGACTGGCCCTGCCCTTCCCTCCATTTTCCTCCGCAGCCCCCTCCCCACCTCAATCTCTGTCGGCTCTTGTCCCAGCTCATCTTCCCCCGCAGATTTCAGGGCTCCGACAGGGGCACGACACCGGGGTTCAGTTGTCAAGTTTGGATACTCCTCTGCTAGGCGACCAGTGGGGTTCCTTGGCCGGTTGGTTTGCAGCTGGGCGAACGAGCAAGATGGGCTTGTGGGGTCCCATGCAGCAGGACAGCGGCTGACCTCCTCCTGTCCTTCTGTCCTTTCAGAGACGTTGGCAACGTGGTGGAAGTCATGTATGGTGACCTCTGCCCTCCCATTATGCTGATCGGGCACAGCATGGGAGGAGCCATTGCTGTCCACACAGCGGCATCCAACCTGGTGCCGAGCTTGTTGGGCCTCTGTATGATCGACGTTGTGGAAGGTAAGGCCCCCCAACCCCCAGAATTTTCTCCTCTGCATCAGACTTTCCTAACCTTGCAGTATCCAGGATACATGTCAGTTTGTTTACCGTGTTTCCCCCGAAAATAAGACCCTATTGTCAGGATTCCGGCACTGACCCCCATTTAAATCCTGAGTCTCGAGCCAAACTTCCAAAGGATTTATTGGGAGTTAACACGTCTGGTTCTGCCTGGGTGTAGCCAACTCTGAGACGCGTCATTCACTGTCACCCTTGACCCTGGTTTTCCCCCCAACCCCCTGGGTGTATCGTAATTCATATCCTCCAATGGGACACCTCCATAGCCCAGAGTCATCCATCAGGCTCTCCAGTTAGAGTTTTGCACGGCAGAAACTTCAGTCACCTAGTGACTATCTTTGAAAACCTTTATGGAATGCAGTTTCGGTTTGCAAGCCGCCGCACTGCTCCCTCCCTTTCTGGTTGGCAACTCTACAAAGACGATGGAAATATTTTATGAGTTGACCCTTCTCTGATATCTTTTTGCGACCAAAAAAAAAGGCACCAGGTCTTATTTTGAGGGGGGGAATGTCCTCCACTGACTAACCTCACTTGCGCGCGTCGCCCCCGGCCTCCTTTTCGCTGTCAGAGGCCTTCAGGAACTACTTCTGCGGCCCGCAAGGCTTTCCTGAAGGCCTCTGCAGCAAATAAGAGACCTCTGGATCGATCCAGAGCTTTGTTCTCAGCTCCAGAGGCCTTCAGGAAATCCTGGCCAGCCTTGCCGGCTGCAGAACAAATGGGCCGACAAGGCAGGTGTTGAGGGGGTGTGAGGCCTGGCTACAACTGTCCAAAGGTAAGTAGTAGGACAACTCCCCACACACACACCCCGCATCCCTACCCTAGCTTAATTTTTAACCCATCCACTCTGGAGTGGGCGGAGTCTTAATTAGGGCTTATTTTGGGGAAGTAGGGCTTATCTTGGGTGCGTGTGTAAAAAAATCAAGCTAGGGCTTACTCTCAGGGTAGGTTGTATTTTCGGAGAAACAGGGTCACACCAGGTTTATCCCTCTGTCATTGGTACAGGGACGGCTATGGATGCCCTCAACAGCATGCAGAACTTCCTTCGGAGTCGCCCGAAGACGTTCAAATCTCTGGAAAACGCCATCGAATGGAGGTAACGTTAGAACCATGTTGGTCTGTTTGGGCGTCCCATCCCAACAAGCCTTGTGACGGCGAACCTCTGGCATGCGTGCCAAAGATGGGCACGCACAGCCGTTTGTCCCGGCACGCGAGTCATGGGCAAACTTACCTCACTGCACATGCCAGACATGATATTCTTCCGATTAAAATCGGAATTCCGTTTTTTTTGGGAATCGCCGCGAGCGGAGCCTGGGCGGGTGGGCGGGCGGTGCGAGCGGCGGGCGGTGCGAGCGGAGCCCGGGCGGGCGGTGCGAGCGGAGCCCGGGCGGGCGGTGCGAGCGGCGGGCGGTGCGAGCGGCGAGCGGAGCCCGGGTGGGCGGTGCGAGCGGAGCCCGGGCGGGCGGGCGGTGCGAGTGGCGGGCGGTGCGAGCGGAGGCCGCTGAGCGGCAGGAAAAGGGAGCTGGGCAGCGATTTCTTGGCGTGCGGTGGGGGGGTCTCTTTTGGCTGGCCCCGATTTTTTTTTCAGAGGGGAATATCATGCCTGACATGCGCAGGCCTCACGAGCTGATTTTTGGCCTGTTTGAGGCCATTTTGGGCCTCCCAGAGGCTTGAGGGAGGCCTCTGCGGTCTTTGCAGGACAAAAAAAATAGGCCCATTTCGTCACTTCCTGTATTTCCGGAAATACCGGAAGTGATGAAATGGGCCCATTTTTCGGCCTGCAAAGCCTGCAGAGGCCTCCCTCAAGCCTCTGGGAGGCCGAAAAAGGCCTCAAAACAGGCTGAAAATCAGCTGCAAGGCACAGTGCAGGAGTGCGAGCGTGCGCACCATTTTTTTTGGCACAGGAGCCCCAAAAGGTTAGCCACCACTGCAATAAGCCAACTTTGTTCTCCGTCTCTGGATCTAGCCGCTCGTAGTTGCTGTAAACCATGAGCCGGAGACCAAAAATACAATTAAGAGTGAATTACCATTAACCCAGTGGCACGGTTGTGAGTGCTCCAGAAGTTGTGAGTGCTCCCATCACTGAATTCAAGAAAAGACAGGACAGCTGTTTGTCCAACATGGTATTAGGGTCTCCTGCTTGAGCAAGGGGTTGGACTAGAAGACCTCCAAGGTCCCTTCCTGCCCTGTGATTTGGTTAATTCTGTTCAAAAGGCAGCAAGTGCCGCCTCGGCAAAGAAGCTGCTGTAAGAGGATCGCACAGACTTGACTCCCAACAACGGCACGACAAAGTAGCAACAATGGGGAAATGAAATCGGCACTTGTGAATTCCGTGTCGGTGGTGACTTGTTGTTGGTTTTTTTTTTTGTTTCCCCATAGTGTGAAGAGTGGACAGATCAGAAATCTTGAATCGGCGAGAGTGTCCATGTTCGGCCAAGTCAAAGAGTACGTCAGCTTTTTTAAAACTTCCTTCCCTGCCTTCTTACGTGAAAATCCTTTTGCCTGGGCCCTTTTTGCGAAACCCCTTCCTTGCAGAGCCGTGTCTTGTGAAACTTTAAAAGACTTCGAAGCGCCTGGACTTCCGCCGGCTAGAAAATTCTGGGGTGTGTGGAGCGGTCGGTGGTCCCTCGGAGCTCATGCTTTGCTTGCAGACGTCTCCTTACCCAGCTAGGTAACAGGGCTCCTCTTCCCGCTTCTCTTTGTCTTCCTTTCCCCCCTCCTTCCCTTCTAACACTGATGATGTTACCTAGTTGGGTCATGAAATGTCTGCAAGCAAAACAACCCAGCTCAGAGCACCAAGGATCCCAGTCTTCTTCTTCTTCTTCTTCTTCTTCTTCTTCTTCTTCTTCTTCTTC